TCAAGCTATATGTTGTGGATGGGCGAGCACATCTGTTCTCACAGAAAATGGCAAGGTTTGTCTCTGTTTTTTATTCCAAACTTTACATTTCCCACTTTGTTACAGGCTACGAATAACCTGTATTTTCAGTCGCCTTTTCTGTGTACGTTATGGTCATCTCGTGGCAAAGATAGACCCCGGACGAGTTCGCATAGATTTCACCTAGCTGGCGTAGGTTACGTGACAAAAAGTTTATTGACGGTTGCATGTTCTAGCTATTAAACTGGTGTACAAATTTTCTTTATTAATACTAGTATTCTATTACCATTGTTGACGGATCATAGGATATCCGACAGAACCTCCAATAATGTGGCAAGTTGCTTACACGGCCTTTGCATCAAATTTAATAAATGCTTGCATCATTTACAATGTTGAATCTTTCTTTCAGGTTTATTTCTGGGGTCAGCTAGATTTACCAAAGGGGGAAAAAACAAGGAAAAAGCTCCTGAGTGTCACTGCCTCAGCGCAAGCCATGGACATTCCAAAGCTGCTGAAGGAGACGCAGTGCAGATCTTCTCCTGCCGGGTACAAATTGGAAATCATTGGCGACGTTGGAATCGCAGACAATCACCTTGCTGTGGTTGGCAGATTGTTTGAAGTGGAAATTTCCAAAAGATATAAAAGCTCACACGGCAGTACTTGCATGGTAATATACGTTAATGCAAAAGGCTGCCAACAATTGCTTGTTCATTATTCTCATCTTTGCCATTTTTCTCCTCTCCTTGCACAGGAATTTCGAGCCGAGATAATTAACTACCAAGACCCCCTAAGACGTGTTCATTCCAAGGGAAAGATAAAGCAGTCACTTAGTGCGGATGGGGTGTACGTTGCTTCCATGGTTTTCTATTCTGAAGGATCTTTCAAGGTCTCTATAACAAGAAATGGAAAGAATCTCCTTGGGAGTCCGTTTAAAGTCACAACAGAAAAAAGCGTTTCGTCGAAGAGAATTAAACTGTCGCTGATTAGTTCAGACACTGAGTGTATGAGAGAAGTTGGTGGGGTCCTTCAGAAAGCCATTGGCCCATATGAATCATGGATTCAATTGACGGGGGTTCCAGCCATCAACACAGATTTATTGACACAAGAAGTATTTATGATGACTTCGATGACTGACAGTGGAATTTACGTCTACGTATGGGACGCCTGCAACGGAAACCTGCCTGAGGAGAACCTCAACTTCTGGTTGCACCTACTGTCAGAACATGCATCTTCCGCCGATGTAATCCTTTTGGCTATAAATGTCAGTACTACACATGCCAATGACATCGACTTAACGCCATTCCAGAAAGTTAATCCAAAGGTAAAGGGATCCATTCTCGTTGGGACCACCTTTGCTTCAGAACCAAGCGAGCTGTTAGAGGAATTACTGTTGGTACTAAGTGAATCAAACTGCCACCAAAGTCCCGTCTGGTACAGATTAGAAATTTTGGCTTCAAAAGCCCTTGAGCTGAAGAGGAAAGGAATTGAGCATCTTGATTATTCTACTTTTAAGAGTCTAGCCAGTGAGTGTGGCATCCAGGGGGATCATCTATGCAGAAAAGCTGCCAACTACCTTGAGTGCACAGGATTGGGTATCTTAATTGGAGCAGATTCGGTTTTCTTAGTTCTCCGACCCCATTGGCTTGAAAGGCAGCTCACCGAACTAGTGAGGCCCAGTCACTTCGGGAGCCTAAGCAGGGAAGCCTTAGGTACTGTTAAAGTATCGAAAATTTTCCGTTATCAGTGAGATCACTTTATATAGACCCCTAAATGATGGGTTTTTGGGAGTGCTCAATTTACACCGTGGAGGAATGTGAAGATCAAAGCATGAGTCCCGCGAAAATTCAAAATCGCCCTTATGCATGACTACTTCACTTGCTGGACTAGACCCAGGCCTCTTTTCCACGAAACTTATCTAAAATCTTTACCACTTTTCTTGATCTCCGTTCCCAAGGAATACTTTCTATTTTAACTTCACAAGTCGCACTTTGCAATATGGGCGTGGGAGGAGGAATTAACTATTTATGTTAATAAGCATAAAGCCTTTTTCGAGGCACCAGACACTCCCAGAATTAGTATTTCTATAGTACAAAGTTGTCTCTAGAGATATTTTAAGTGTTCTTGTAACTCCTTGGGGTTCTCATGAACGTCTTTTTTATCTGTTTTAATTCCCCAGACTCGACAAAACAACACATTGTCAACTTTTTGATTGAAAAGCGAGTGGCTGTTGAGACAAGAGATGGAGGTGCAGTTTACATTATTCCGCACCTGACTTCAAAATCTATCACAGAAAAGAATTGGCCTCCGGTAGAGGAGTCCAAATACACCATCTACAGACATTTGGTGTTTAAGGTGCCGCCTTATCTTGTCTATTCCAATTTCCATGACCTCGTTGCAAACATTCTGCAAGAATATAGTCAAGTGATTGTGGGGAAATATTCTCTGGTTATCTACGGGGACGATCAGTATGACTGTCGTATTGACTGCGGGCCTTGTTTTGTCAACAAAACTGTCATGGAGGTAAGAGTGACAGTGCGGGCACACAGCCAAGATGTCTGCAGGGCAGGTGCAGAAGCAACAGTACGTTTCCTGAAAACAAGCCTTGCGAATTTACCTGGCTTTTGTGAGATCAAGGTGTCTTGTAGTGCCTGTCAGCAACATTATTTTGATTTGTCCTTTCTACAAGAGGCAACAGCACGTGGCGTGGACAGGTGTCATTGTGAAAGATGTTATGACAAAAAATCTAACATCAGTGACATGTTAAATGGATTCAAAGATACGCAATTGATTCCAGTTTTGGAATGGCATTCTTTTAATGGAACCGGTAGGTAGAAACTTAGAGACCAATACTCACTTACCCTGACCTGTGTGAGTTTACTAGTCTTACGTGACCTCCAGAGCTGAAATTTGAATCATAAGCACGCCCACAACTTAAAGCATAGGGGTCTTTTTCCTGTAGATTTCAAGAAAAAAACATATAAAGGATACTGTTGGCCTGTTGAGGATGGCCTTGGACCTTGTTTTTGTGCATGTTTCAAGGGCGAAAAGTGAACAAATTGAATTATGGATCGTTGTTGTGTTGGAAAGAAATAAAACTTGGTTCAACTTGCAAAGTTCATTACGGATGGAGAAGAAAGACGCCAAAATCAAATCATTAAACACTCAAACTCGTACTGAGTTTTTCACTCATCAACTTTGCCTTGTCTTTAACAAAGCAGGTGACCCGTACCGTAGGCTTGATGATCCTAACACTCTGACGCGTCCCCTGATGAAGTACCTTGGTGATCGCGTTGACAAACATGAAGCAAAACTGCTGAGAGAGATCAGAGAAAGGATTAACGACTTGACAAAAGTCTTCATGGACATGAAAAATGTAAGAATAGCGTTTAGCACTGGTGATCAATCTTCGTCTTGAATTGCCGAAGAGAAAAGTACGAACATAAGGCTTTTGCCCATTAGAACTGAGGAGGAAAGTAACTAGGAGGGAAGCGGGTAATCAAAGAATCATAACCATTTTAGCAGGGTTAATAGACAAAAGACTTGGTACTTTCATGTAAGTATATTTTATAGACAATTTGACTGTGTTCCCAGGCTAAGGAATTCCAATCTTATCTCTCTGTAATTCATGCTCTCTATTAGAGCTTGCTGGTGTCGTGGAGGTGTTTCAGATTTTGAATTGTGATGTTAATCTGCATGTTTTGAAAACAGAGCTGCTGTTGTCTCCACACTTGATTTCGTTTGCGCCCAAAATATGAAATCACCATATTACTGTCTACTCTCGGCCTCGACAGTTTCTGTGGCGGTTTGTTTAATTTGAATGTGGCACGAACTTGACATATGAACACTTTTCTCTTTCTCGTTTTCTGACATGTCTGTATCACTTTCCGTAGTACGATGTTCCACGAACCATTTGCCTTCTGCCAGAATTCCGGAATCGCTCCTCTGTTTTGAAATTGAACGCGATAAAAAGGCTTCTAACCTTTGGTCAGCCAAAATATCGGTTGTTTCTGCTTTGTGAAGGAAACGGAGACGGTAGTGGGGTACACTTTCTGGACTCCAGCAAGCATGAAGGATACAGACTAGAGAGTATGGTAGCTGCTGATCTCATCAAGAAAAGCGTTAATTTTTTGCGCTTTTCTTTGCAGGTAAGTTTCTTGCAGACCGTTTGTGGGCAACATCGACACGAATTGATTCGGAGTGTTATAGCGTTAATTCGTGGAATTCTAAATTCACTCTTGTCTCTTTTTCAACGTTAACCATAGTTCGCCAATATTTTCCTCTTTTCAGCTTCTCATCAACATTTCCTCTGTGGCGAGCATCGCTGCAACCCTCTTTGATGCGGAAGAAACTCTGAACACTGTCCTGGGCACAATAGGCCTTGGTGGAGCTGTGCTTTCTGGAGTTCGATGGAAGAATGTCTTCAAAGAGGTTTGTGATATGCATTGACTTTTAAAATCAACGACATCTACGAAACTTCTTCATCACATATATACCTCGTTAAGCAAACGTTACTCGTTACTCGCGTTTTCTCCGCTTCAGTTGGTGTGATTATTTGTTCGTTGTGATGTTTTTCTATGTTGTATTTTTACGACGTTTAAAGAAATGTGTTCCAATATACCAAAATCCAAAAGCCTACGTTACTTATCTTACACACAGATGGACGGTTTCCTCAAGACTGTTGAGGAATCATCGGGTTCCATTCCGCAACCCAAAGGGCTAACTGGCGTATCAGGTGCATTCCGCGGCTATCAACTGGGTGGTGAACATTATGAATACTTGCGAGAAGTTCTGTTTACCGTTCATATTCCCGCAGTCGTAAATGAATGGGCTTGTCAAACACTTCCTTACAAGTTATAATATAAGACGAAACTTTTCACGCCTTTCTACAGCTCTATATAATAAAAAGAACAGAAGAACTGGACATTTCTGGACAAGAACTGAAACTCGAATGTAACTCGCCCTACTAGGTAAACTGTGCAAATTCAACCAAAGATTCTTTTATGTTTTTCGATCTCAATTTTTTCTGCTATAAACTCATACTTAAGTTCCTTGCCAGTCTTGTCTGTTTCTGTCTTCCTGTCTAAAAGGTATTCAAGGAAACCTGCAAGAAAAAAATATATATTATAAGCCCTAAAGTTTTAGGCCACTTTGGGGGGGACAAATAGTCATTCAGTCCTCGTTATTTATCCACAACTTACCATGAATAGGCAGGTTTGGGTGCAAGCTCTCTCAAGGTGAGATGGAAATTGTTAACCTAAACTATCTTAACTTATTTAAGTTACCATCTCCAAGAGGGTACTCTGAACACTGTCCTTGGAACAATAGGCCTCAGTGGAGCTGTGATTTCTGTGGTTTGGTGGAAGAATGTCTTCAAAGAGGTTTTTTTTTTTTTTTTATAAGACACTGCAAACTGTCTGCAGTCCATCATATGCTTTGTGATATTTTCATTAGGATTCACATTTCAGATGATGCACATCCACGCTTCACAAGTAGGGACATGCAAAGAGTTTCACCTTGTTGTGCAAGCATATGTAGCAGGATAAGCACACTCATCTCATCATCTATTTCTGTTCTAAACCAAAGTTTGTGTCCAGAATAGGTTTCCAGCTTTATGATTACAAGATACTATTTATTTAATAATCTCAGTCTTCTTTGTTTTTACCTGGGCAAGTGGTCATGTTTTCTTGTGCCCATCGGTATTTGGCAAGACTTCTAAACACTTTCAACACAGCATAGTGAACATCTTGAAAAGGTTGTTTGGAAATTTCCATCAGTTCCTGAAGTGGATTAGATGTCATAGCAATAAAGAGCAATCTTGTCAAAACTGACAAATCCTCAGAAGGAACTTGAGTGGTGTGAAAAATCAAGGCCAGAGTTTCCAAGGAACGAGCCTTCACATCAGCTTGGGAGGAAGTGATGTTTGTGCACAAGACTTTCATGATCTCATGAATGCGGCTCTTGTCATCAAATACTACTTGCAGACCTGCTTCTGAATGTGACACAGCACCAACTGTTTCTATGGCAATCAGTTTAAGAGATGGATCTGCAGCTGTTAGGAAGGAGATGACATTTTCCAAAAAGGCTGGATACTGCTGAATCACTTCTGCTGGTCTGGACTGAGCCAGATAACCAAAGAATCTGATAATACCTGTAAGATTTCAAGATCAAGAAAATGTATTACACGAGTGACCAAGACAGAATTTCTTCCTACAATATATGGCAATATCAAGCAGACAAGTGATAAGAAGAAAGAAAAATGTAAATTAGGGGATTGATACTGGATTGATGGTTGATCCAACAGCAAATTCTCAGAAATAATATCATAAGAATTGTATGGCTGACAATAAGGAGAATCACCAATGAGATCTTAGGACCTTTACCTGATGACAATTTGCCTGTAAGCTCAGACAGCAAAAGGGGCAGCCTATACCGAGCTGTGAAAATGCTTGTTTAGACATTTAATTTTCTAAATGTGACTTCCAGTTTTTTAGCTGATCACTTTGAAGATTCAACATTGCCCTTTCCTAGCATTCTTACCATCATTTTTAATGTTATTGAATATTTGTTAAGTACTATTTGGGCAATTATATTGGAGACAGCACTATATAAGAACAGAAAGTATCATTATTGTTGTTGGTATCATTATTATTCAGAGATATTCCAACCCCTTTTGAGGGGAAATAGGGAGTATATTTTATTTAATTTATGCCTAAGTCATCTGCAAACAAAAAATTGTATAGGAAAGTATGTTACATAACATTTTACTCTCAGATTGCAAAAGATACTTATAAGAGAAGCAATTTTTTCTTTGTTATAAGAATTTTATGATAAATCAGGAGAGGGGCAACACATCAAATTGGGAGACTACCAATCAAATCAGAAGGGTTGGAATTTCTGCATCATTATTTCAAAAACTATGAAGAAGATATTTTGGTTTTATCAACTTAGTTCAAATTGTGTTTATTGAATATTGACCACTGTGAACAGATTCTAAAGCTGACGGCTCAAGTGTTTACATTATGAACTCATTTGATAAAACCAGATTATCCTGTACTACCCTCTACTGACACTACCCTACAGTTTCTTTAGAAGCTTACCCTTCTATAAAATCTGAACATTTAAATCATTTTAATTGACTTTCTGTGTTTGAACTGTCTATACTAAAACTAAAATCTTACTTGGTAACATCAGAGAGATCAGTGGATCTACTTCAGCAGTAATCAATAAATTGTTCAGCTTATTTGCTATGCCACTTTCTTCAACAAACATGAGCCCATTTGTTCCTGAATCTGCAAGTTGCGTCAAAAGCTCAATGCTGTTCAACCTGAGCAAAATATCATCTCCATCGAGCTCTTTTGCCAATTTCTCCAAAACACCTGATTTTCTGCATAATTCAAACGCTTTTTCGGAGAGACGTTGGATAGCCACAAAAAGCTCATACACTCTGAACCGGATAACATCTTTTTTCGTTAGAAGCTCCTCGATTTCACTCTGAATCTGATGTTCAAACAAAATCTCCAGGCCGGATTCATGTTTTGCAGTGTTGATAAGCGTATTTGAGGCCAACTTGACGCAAGCAAGGCTCTCGTTGCTCAGCGCACGAGTGGTGTAAACCAGGATATCCACATTGTCCAAAATAGCGAGAAGGCCGTTAACAGTTGCAGAGCATCTTTCCAGCTCACCCAAGCAAAACTCGCGGACCTCAAACTGTGGATGATTCAAACCTTCGATGACGAAATCGTGGTACTGAGTTATAATTGCGTCTGCCTTCTCTACAGATAGCAATTTGTTCAATATCCCTTTGCACAGTGAAATTTGCTCTTCGTTGGTTGTACTGAAACAGCCAAACAACGAACGAGCTGGGATATGAGGCGCTATCTCACGAGTACCAAAAGATGAGCTGTTAAGAAGGGCACTAAGATCTTGTAAAGTTATCATTAACTCTTCGCCCGACGTATTTGAGAGTCTCTGCACAATCTTCGCACACTTCTCGGCAGCCATCTTGGCTCGATGTCGCGCCCGCGAGCATCTGCGAAGGTATGAAAAGGAAATTGCTTCATGCAACATCAATGAATTATCATTGAATTCGATACATACTGCATGGTTGAACAACATATGGTCACTTAGTAAAATTTATTCATGTAGGCTATATTGTTGTGTCACTTTGTGGAACTGTTATGTAAGACATATCACTGTGTTAACTAGAACAGTAGGTACGTCCATCTACACTGTCTACAGTAGGTAAAACTATCTTCACTGTCTACAGTAGACACAACTATCTACACTGTCTAAAGTAGGTACAACTATCTACACCGTCTGCAATAAGTACAACCCTCTTCACTGTGTACAATAGCTACAACTATCTACACTGCCTACAGTAGGTACAGGTGTCTACACTGTCTAAAGTAGGTACAGCTATCTACACTGTCTACAATAGGTACAATTATCTTCATTGTCTTCAGCGGGTACAGCTATCTACACTGTCTACAGTAGGTACAACTATCTACACTGTCTACAGCAGATACAACTATCTACACTGTCCACAATAGGAACAACTATCTTCACTGTCAATAGTAGGTACAACTATCTACACTGTCAACAATAGGTACAAATATCTACACTGTCTACAGTAGGTACAGCTTTCTACACTGTCTACAGTAGGTACAGCTTTCTACACTGTGTACAATAGGTACAACTATCCACACTGTCTACAGTGGATGCAGCTGTCTACACTGTCTACAGTAGCTACAGCTATCTGCACTGTCTACAATAGGTAAAACTATCTGCACTGCCTACATTCGGTAAAGCTTTAATAAAATACGTTCACAGAAAAATGCGTTTTTGCTGACTTTTCTATTTTTACCTCTTCTTATCATCATTGTTATCTTTCCTTTTTCTTTTTTTGTTTCTGAGCATTTATCTTCTACGGTTTTGGTATTTGTCACAATCGGAAAGGCCTCTCGATTTGCACATTTTGTTTGCATCGAGTCTTCCATTACATAACAAAAGGGAATTTATGGCACATTTTGCATAGGGTTTAATACGTAAAGTATTCATCAAACAGCCGAATAGTCGTGAGAGAGCCCGGGCCGAAGAAATCGAAGCTAAGGTTTTCTTTTTCCTTAGTTTGCTTTGCCCAATTTTCTTTCTTCTTTTTCTCATAAATTTTTGGATTTCCTTTACTGTATTGTAAATTCGGAATGACCTTTCCCGCCAAATTGAGAGGAACTCTTTGCCACGAGACCTCCACGGGAATTCGATGATGCGTTTGGAGGCCAGTTTACGATCAGACAACGACATCCCAACGTCAGCAGGTAGACATACTGAGAAAACATTTACCTCCTTCTAACTTGTATTGCCTAGCTTGAAATGGATAATACATAAGAAACGTCAAAGGAAGAAAAGAGGTAAAAATAATACATAAAACGGTTAAAGAAAAACAAAACCACTTCTATTTCAAGGAAAAAGAGTCTTTGCCGGCGACTTCTGAGTAACAGAAAACTCTACAAGATTTCAAATACAACTAACAATTAACAACGTGGCCCGAGAAAGAAAACTGCTCTGAAACAGAAGAAGGGAAAAAGGAAAAAAGAAGATAAAAATGATGATGATAAGGAGAAAAAGTAGAAGAAAAACAGCAAAAACAAAAACGCAATTTCGCGGGGAGGAGTTCCTCGGCCCCCAAGCCAGTTTGAGAGTTACTCCTTGTCCGCAAGCTCCAAATCATACTCGGGGAGAAGTTATTCGGCCCCCAAGCCAGATTGAGAATAACTCCTATAGCGTGATTCGAACCCGCGACCTCGATGACCTCTCTTGCACTCGTTGCGCGCCTACGATTGCCGCTCGACCATCTCGAAACTACATATTTATTATGTATGAATTGTCGGTGTAGTGAGTTTTGAAATACCAGGTTGGGGGGAGGGTGAGGAACTTTGTCTTACTGAGAGTGCAATCAAGCGTTTCCGGTCAAGAATAAAGGAAACAAGTCTAACAAAGAACTGATAAAAGCGATCTACACGAGGAATATTAGCATATGTTGTAATGGCGGACGGCTTCGTTTGCTGAAGCTCTTGAATATGATTCCTCAGTATTGTATTGCACATCTTTTACTGCGCATAAAATCACGTAATCATAAAGGCGAATAAGCGCGCTTAACGTATTTTAATCCATGGACCAGGTTAAAAGGTACGATGGTCTTCAGCTCTTGATTGAGAACACTGACCTATATTTTCTATAGGTCTAGGTTTCTAAGTGTCTTTATTGAACATTAGATAAAAATACATATCTGATGTTACAGGATAAAAAGATTCAAGGTTCAGCCAAAAATTACAATAGAATAAAAGAATAAAAACATCAAACTAGATACAATATATCTGGCATAAAATATCATAAAAGGTTGCATTTAAAAATTAATCTATTTACAAATGTGTCCTTATAACGTTCAGGGTTTATCTTAGGCCATAGTAGCTTTTACGTCTGAGGTTGTGAGTTGAATTGTTCTTTTCTTGCGGTAAGCAAACCTTCAGACGGTGGTTATCACGCTGCTTAACTATTTTAAGAATCGCTTTATCTTGTTTTTTCAGAAATGATCTAATATTTAACTGCGTAGATGTAAAGCGCAACTTATAGCATCTGTCTATAGAAGAGATAATCAATTTCTGTCTGGCTGTAGCGTTCTTTTCTAAATGCTCTCAGCACGTGTAGACAATTGTTGGCCTTGCACAGTTTAGCTTTTATGTGTGCAAAAAATTGACAGTCATTCTGGAAGGTCAGACCTTATAACTTAAGAGTGGCATGCGGGAGTGGAACCTAGCTTAATATCAAGGTCATTTAAGAACACAATGTAGGCTATATTGTTGTGTCACTTTGTGGAACTGTATGCAAGACATATCACTGTGTTAACTAGAACAGTAGGTACATCCATCTACACCGTCTACAGTAGGTAAAACTATCTACACTGTCTACAGTAGATACAACTATCTACACTGTCTACAGTAGGTACAACTATCTACACTGTCTACAGTAAGTACACCTATCCACACTGTCTACAGCGTCTACAGTAGGTACTACTATCTACACTACCTGCAGTAAGTACAACTGTCTAGACTAACTACAGTAGGTACTTTTATCTGCATTGTCTGCAGTAGGTACAGCTATCTACACTGTCTATAGTACCTACTGTAGACAGTGTAGATAGCGGTACCTACAACTATCTTCACTGTCTACGGTAGGTACAATTACCAACACTGTCACAACAGGTACTACTATCTACACCGTCAAACAATAGGCACAACTATCTACACTGTCTACGGTAGGTACAGCTATCTACATTGTCTTCAGTTGGTACAACTATCTACATTGTCTACAGTAGGTACAGCTATCTACATTGTCTTCAGTTGGTACAGCTATCTACATTGTCTACAGTAGGTACAGCTGTCTACACCGTCAACAATAAGTACAACTACAGTAAGTACAGTAGGTATAGGTACAATAGGTATAACTATCTACACTGTCTACAGTAGGTGCAACTGTTTACACCGTGTACAGTAGGTATAACTATCTACACTGTCTATGGTGGGTACAACTGTCCACACTGTCTACAGTGTATACAGCTGTCTACACTGTCTACAGTAGGTATAACTATCTTCACTGTCTACAATAGGTACAACTATCTACACTCTCTACGGTGGGTACAACTATCTACACTCTCTACGGTGGGTACAACTATCTACACTGTCTAGCAAAGATCACACAACAATACCGCTATTTTCTATTTTGCCATTTTCTCTCAATATTTATTGGAGTATCTTTTACGGTAAAAAAAAAAACTTTTTATGTTTTTCTTAAAATGGAAGATGGTTAAATACATAAGTATCTCGGTTACTTTTACAAAGGAAATTTGAATTTTTGGCCATAAATAATCTGCGAGAAAAATGTGAAGTCTACCGACCACTTCCTCTCTCTGCTTCTGTACGGCATAACTCTCTGATACGGATCGAGATGTTTTTTTTTTTTATAAATAATGGTACTCTTAAGCCATCATTCAGTAAATTGCAGATTTATTCAGTTAAAATCTCGAACGCCTCTTCATCCTTGCATGAACTGAAGGAGCTTTTTATTGATAATGCAAATTTTGTTATCATATAAGGATTATGCAATCTTCTTTATTGAGGGATCCATAGGAGAAAAAAAAGGCCAGATAAGATTCCCCAATCTAAAAGGGATAATTTGTACACCAAAATTATGCAATAGAAAATATAGGTCAGTGTTCTCAATCAAGAGCTAAAGACCATCGTACCTTTAACCTGGTCCATGGATTAAAATATAAAAAGCGCGCTTATTCGCCTATATGATTACGTGATTTTTATGCGCAGTAAAAGATGTGCAATGCAATACTGAGAAGTCATATTAAAGAGCTTCAGCAAACGAAGCCGTCCGCCATTACAACATATGCTAATATTCCTCGTGTAGATCGCTTTTGTCAGTTCTTTGTTAGACTTGTTTCCTTTATTCTTGACCGGAAACGCTTGATTGCACTCTCAGTAACACAAAGTTCCTCACCCTCCCCCCCAACCTGGTATTTCAAAACTCACTACACCGACAATTCATACTTATTAAATATGTAGTTTCGAGATGGTCGAGCGGCAATCGTAGGCGCGCAACGAGTGCAAGAGAGGTCATCGAGGTCGCGGGTTCGAATCACGCTATAGGAGTTATTCTCAATCTGGCTTGGGGGCCGAATAACTTCTCCCCGAGTATGATTTGGAGCTTGCAGACAAGGAGTAACTCTCAAACTGGCTTGGGGGCCGAGGAACTCCTCCCCGCGAAATTGTGTTTTTGTTTTTTTTCTGTTTTTCTTCTACTTTTTCTCCTTATTATCATCATTTTTATCTTCTTTTTTCCTTTTCCCTTCTTCTGTTTCAGAGCAGTTTTCTTTCTCGGGCCACGTTGTTAATTCTTAGTTATATTTGGAATCCTGTAGAGTTTTCTGTCGCTCAGAAGTCGCCGGCAAAGACTATTTTTCCTTGAAATAGAAGTGGTTTTGTTTTTCTTTGACCGTTTTGTGTATTATTTTTAAGTCTCTTCTTCCATTGACGTTTCTTATGTATTCTCCATTTCAAGCTCGTCATCCTTCGATAAGCAATGAAAGTTAGAAGGAGGTAAAATGTTTTCTCAGTATGTCTACGTGCCGAACTCTGACGTTAAGATGTCGATGTCCGATCGTAAACTGCAGTGAAGTTCTCTTTGTCGAGAATAAAATGAAGAAAAAGGCTGGTAAGTCTTTGAGGATCCGTGCTGGAGCACATCTTCGACATCAGCCTACCTTTCCGTAATCATGCGAAATGTCATATATTGGTAATCGTCCGAAATCGTATGTAACGAACTCATTCAAAATTGGACAGAGCCCCATGATATTAAAACAAGAGAGAAAATAACTCCAATACCATCTCTTGACTAGAAGCAAGGTTCAAAACATGGAATAAAAGGAAATATGTTGTTCTTGACGTTTGAAATTTTGCTTTTGTATGCTATGCCGATATTTTTTGTTCAGGTAAAGTAAAGTTTTTAGTTAGCATCAACTTCACGATTTGTCATGGCCTAACCAGATACAACTGGTTCTGGTAGCTCAACTTGATTACTGAGTGTGTTTGTAAACCAAAGCAAGTGGTCAAGTTCCCTATCGCCGTCTATGGCTCCTGACACCCTTCAGGCCTTCCTGTTGGTCATTAGAGGGTAAGAGGTTTTGGTAAAGGTACCCTCTTCTAACTTGTGGTCCAAGTTATTGGAAACTTTACACCTTCTTTCTCACAGATTATGATTTCGAAATGATAAATTTTGGACGACAATCAGAAGTGTCAGTGATAAATATGCTAATTACGCTTGCGTCAATCCCACTTTAAAATGGAAGATGGTGAAATACATAAGTATCTCGGTTACTTTTACAAAGGAAATTTGAATTTTTGGTCACAAATAATCTACGAGAAAAATGTGGAGTCTACCGACCCCTTCCTCTCTTTGCTTCTGCACGGCATTACTCTCTGATACGAATAGAGCCGTTTTTTTTAATCGTGATGCTCTTAAGCCATCAGTTCAGTAACTTACTACCCATCATGCCTGTGTGGCACATAGGGCAGCAACGAAATCCTTCCAACCCTGCCTATCTTTAGCCAGTTTTTCAATGGTGCTCCAGCTGTAATTGAGCCCCCTTAGTCTCTTCTCTACTGTCCTGCGCCAAGTTGTTTTCGGGCGCCCTCTGCTTCGTTTGCCTTCAGGTGTCCAGTGCATTGCAATTCTGGCTATGTTGTTACTGGCCTTCCGCATCACATGACCGATCCACCTCCATCTTCCCCTGTTGACAAGTGTATGAATATCCTCCTGCTTGGTTTGCCTCAGTAGCTGGTCGTTTGATATTTTTCTGTGGTTAGCTGTGTGGAAGGATGCTAGTTTTGAGAGGTCCTGTTCTGTCATTCGCCAGCATTCCGAGCCGTAAAGGAGAGTTGACAATACGCAGCTCTGATAGATTCTAAGCTTCGTCTTTGTGCTGTAGCTTGCTGACCTCCACACTAATCTTAAGCTCATAAAAGCAATTCTTGCTTTGTTCAATCTGCTTTGTATATCTACACTAGTACTCCGATGTTGGCAGAGCACACTTCCGAGGTATGTGAACTTATTGGTGTATGAAATGTCCTGTCCTCTCACCCTGATCTTTGTTGGGGAAGGGACATTAACACACATGGCCTCCGTCCTCTTCAAGCTAGTTCTCAAGCTGACCTGGTTGCTGAACATGCTGAGCCGGTCTGTCTTTTCCTGAATGTGACGTCGTGTGTGGGACAATAGGGCTAAATCATCTGCGAAGTCGAAGTCTTCGAGTATAGTAAAAGGGGTCCATCTTATGCCTCTTCGCTGATCTTCCATTGTTCGACAAAGGACCCAGTCGATAGCAATATTGAAAAGCATGGACGTCATGACACATCCCTGCCGTACACCAGTTTTAACTTCAAAACTTAGATCTCCCTGACCGATGCAACATGTGAAATTTGAGTAGAAGCATTTGATGATATTAATAATGCGTTGTGGAATGCCATATGCTCTCAGAATCTGCCAAAGACTGTCCCTGTGAATGCTATCAAACGCTTTCTCATAGTCGATGAAATTAACATACAACTCCCTGTTCCACCGCCATCAGTTCAGTAAGTTGCAGATTTATTCAGTTAAAGTCTCGAACGCCTTTTTATCCATGCATGAACTAAAAGAGCTTTTTAATGATAATGCAAATTTTGTTATCATGAAAGGACTACTTAAGCTTAAGCTTCTTTATTGAGGGATTCACTGGAGCCAAAAAGACCAAATAAGATTCCCCAATCTAAAAGGGATAATTTGTACACCAAAATTATACAATAGAAAATATAGGTCAGTGTTCTCAATCAAGAGCTGAAGACCATCGTACCTTTTAACCTGGTCCATGGATTAAAATACATTAAGCGCGCTTATTCGCCTTTATGATTACGTGATTTTATGCGCAGTAAAAGATGTGCAATACAATTCTGAGGAGTCATATTCAAGAGCTTCAGCAAACGAAGCCGTCCGCCATTACAACATATGCTAATATTCCTCGTGTAGATCGCTTTTGTCGGTTCTTTATTAGACTTGTTTCCTTTATTCTTGACCGGAGACGCTTGATTGCACTCTCAGTAAGACAAAGTTCCTCACCCTCCCCCCCAACCTGGTATTTCAAAACTCACTACACCGACAATTCATACATAATAAATATGTAGTTTCGAGATGGTCGAGCGGCAATCGTAGGCGCGCAACGAGTGCAAGAGAGGTCATCGAGGTCGCGGGTTCGAATCACGCTATAGGAGTTATTCTCAATCTGGCTTGGGGGCCGAATAACTTCTCCCCGAGTATGATTTGGAGCTTGCGGACAAGGAGTAACTCTCAAACTGGCTTGGGGGCCGAGGAACTCCTCCCCGCGAAATTGCGTTTTTGTTTTTGCTGTTTTTCTTCTACTTTTTCTCCTTATTATCATCATTTTTATCTTCTTTTTTCCTTTTCCCTTCTTCTGTTTCAGAGCAGTTTTCTTTCTCAGGCCACTTTGTTAATTGTTAGTTATATTTTAAATCCTGTAGAGTTTTCTGTTACTCAGAAGTCGCCGGCAAAGACTCTTTTTCCTTGAAATAGAAATGGTTTTGTTTTTCTTTAACCGTTTTATGTATTATTTTTACCTCTTTTCTTCCTTTGACGTTTCTTATGTATTATCCATTTCAAGCTCGTCATCCTTCGATAAGCAATGAAAGTTAGAAGGAGGTAAATGTTTTCTCAGTATGTCTACGTGCTGAACTCTGACACTGGGATGTCGTTGTCTGATCGTAAACTGGCCTCCAAAGAAATTCACAGTTTCCGCACCTTATAAGCGTTTGTCGATGCGTACATGCTGCCGATCGACCGATGAAACGCATCATCGAATTCCCTTGGAGGTCTCGTGACAAAGAGTTCCTCTCAATTTGGCGGGAAAGGTCATTCCGAATTTACAATGCAGTAAAGGAAATCCAAAAATTTATGGGAAAAAAAAGAATGAAAATTGGGCAAAGCAAGCTAGTGAAAAAGAAAAACTTAGCTTCGATTTCTTCGGCCCGTGCTCTCTAACGACTATTCGGCTGTTTGATGAATACTTTACGTATTAAACAGCTAAACTGAAAGGATTCACTTCTCACCAATGCCAGACGCTTCGGGTCTTTAGTTAAATCTATGACCAAACAAAACCGGTCACCTAGTTTCTTGGGGTATGGTGAACGCTTTGTTACGAACAACAAAGAGAAAGCAGACTCACTTAACAACTTTTTTCAATCAGTATTCAGTCCTAACGATGGTACTTCTGAATCTTACCAAGGGCCATCTACTATGCCGGTTCATCATTTAAGTGAAATCCGCCTTACAATTTCAGAGGTAATTAAATTTCTGACAGACATTGATGTAAACAAAGCACATGGCCCCGACAACATTCCTGGTAGATTGCTGAAGGAAACTGCACCTGAAATTGCCTCTCCCGTCTGCCGTTTGTTTAACCTATCGTTGTCTCTCGGCAAGTTTCCTGATCAGTGGAAATTAGCTAATGTATGTCCTGTCTACAAATCCGATGATCCCACATTACCCAAAAACTACCGCCCAATTTCATTACGTAGCATTATATCCAAATGCCTAGAAAGATGTGTCTTTAAACACTGCTATACCCTCATCTCGCCACAACTCTACCATCTGCAGCATGGTTTTCTTAAAGGATGGTCCATTGTTATTCAGCTCCTCCAGGTCTATCACGAATTGATTCAAGCCCTAGCCAAAGGCAAGGAGATTGACATAGCTTATTTGGACTTCGCTAAAGCATTCGCAAAGTCCCTCATTGTGCCTTGCTAAATAAGCTATCTCGATTCGGAATATCTGAGCAGCAAATAAACTGGTTTCAGAGCTATCTTTCTGATAGATATCAACGAGTAGCACTACAAGGCACCTATTCCGACTCGTTACAAGTCTTGTCCGGTGTTCCGCAAGGCTCAGTATTGGGCCCTCTGCTTTTCCTTGTCTATATAGACGACGTTCCTCAATGTATTAAACGTGACTCTAAAGTTGCCATATTTGCAGACGATTCTAAGCTGTTTAAGATAATTGAAAAACCATCGGATAAATTTTCAATTCAACAAGACCTAACGCAGCTCTCAATCTGGAGTGATACCTGGGAAATGTGTCTCAGCATACCCAAATGTAAGGCCTTGAATATCTCTTGGAAGAAAACTCCCACAAAACGGGAATACCACCTTAACGGGTCCCCACTGGCAACAGTTATCGAAATTAAAGATTTGGGCATAACTGTCACCAATACTCTCCAATGGTCTCAACATATAAAGCTGATTTCCTCTAAAGCAAACAGAACGCTTGGCCTTATTCGTAGGGTCTGTAGATATATCAATGATCCTGACATCAAGAAACTTTTATACTACTCAAGTTCGACCACAACTAGAGTGCGCATGTGAACTATGGTCACCTTACACGTCAAAGGACAAACTATTGTTAGAAAACGTTCAGCGCAGGGCCACAAAGTTTATCTTGAATTATCTAAGGGATATGTCCTACAGGGATCGGTTGCTTAAACTTTTTCTCTATTACCACTAGAATATAGAAGGGAAATGAAAGACTTGGTACTTATCTATAACGCTAGAGCAGGCTACATTGATCTGGGTCACCACGACTTTTTCCGTCAAACTGTAGTTCGGCAGAAAACGCGTAATTCGAGTGAATTAAATTATCAAATACCACACACAAAACAAAATTGCTTAAAACATTCGTTTTATTACAGGTCTATCAATCTTTGGAACAAATTACCAAAGGACATTAAAAGCGTGGACTCATTTCATACTTTTAAAAGGAGGCTTTTAGATTTTTACGATGAAAAAACCGTTTCTTATAATCTTCCAAGTCGTGAGGGTGTAAGTTAATGAACCTATTCTTAAATTGACTTGGTTGTAAATAATATCATATGATAATTATTGCTAGTTTTATTACTACTTTCACGATTATAATTATTACAACTATTTTGTTAATATTTATGGAGGTTGAATATCAATTGGGACATCGTCCTGTTTTCTTCTCCAGTTGCCGATACTATTCTGTACGTGTAACAAATTTCAATAAAGTTAAAGTTAAACTATTAAACCCTATGTAAAATGTACCATAAATTCCCTTTTGTTGCGTAACGGAAGACTCAATGCAAACAAAATGTGCAAATCGAGAGGCCTTTCCTATTGTGACAAGAACCAAAACCGTAGAAGATAAATGCTCAGAAACAAAAAAAGAAAAAGGAAAGATAACAATGATGATAAGAAGAGGTAAAAATTGAAAAGTCAGCAAAAACGCATTTTTCTGTGAACGTATTTTATTAAAGCTTTACCGAATGTAGACAGTGTAGAAAGCTGTACCTACTGTAGACAGTGTAGAAAGCTGTACCTACTGTAGACAGTGTAGATATTTGTACCTATTGTTGACAGTGTAGATAGTTGTACCTACTATTGACAGTGACGATAGTTGTTCCTTTTGTGGACAGTGTAGATAGTTGTATCTGCTGTAGACAATGTAGATAGTTGTAACTACTGTAGACAGTGGAGATAGCTGTACCCACTGAAGACAATGAAGATAGTTGTACCTATTGCAGACAGCGTAGATAGCTGTACCTACTTTAGACAGTGTAGACACCTGTACCTACTGTAGGCAGTGTAGATGGTTGTAGCTATTGTACACAGTGAAGATGGCTGTACTTATTGTTGACAGTGTAGATAGATTTACCTATTGTTGACAGTGTAGATAGTTGTACCTACTGTAAACAGTGTAAATAGTTGTACCTGCTGTAGACAGTGTAGATAATTGTACCTACTGTAGACAGTGTAGATAGTTGTACCTACTGTAGACAGTGTAGCTAGTTGTACCTATTGTACAGTGTAGAAAACCGTACCTTTCTGTAGACAGTGTAGATAGCTGTACCTACTGTAGACAGTGTATATAGTTGTACCTACTGAAGACAGTGTAGAAAGTTGTATCTACAGTAGACAGTTTAGATAGTTGTACCTACTGTAGACAGCGTAGATAGTTGTACCTACTGTAGACAGTGTAGATAGTTATACCTTCTGTAGACAGTGTAGATAGTTGTACCTTCTGTAGACAGTGTAGATAGTTGTATCTACTGTAGACAGTGTAGATGGATGTACCTATTGTACCAGTTGACAGTGATATGTCTTACATAACAGTTTCACAAACTGACACAACAATATGGCCTACCTGATTGCCTTGGTACTCAATAGTTAAGTATTTAATAAATCAGGGATAGATGATTATACGGAGCCACAGTAAGCCAAATTCTCATAACAACAAGGGCTACTAGTATACTTTACAAGACATGTGAACTGTTTTTATTTTTTGTTCTCAAAGAATGCGTCGCGCGCTCGCGAGTTATTAAAGAAAAGCTACAAAATAAGGCAAAGAAAAAACTGAGACACCAGCCTCAGACAAGAAATCAATGACCACCATTTCTGCAGAATAGCCATCGTTTTTTGCGTTTTCGAGGATCGAGGCGCGTTCGAGGAAAGCGATTCAAGCGCGAGAAAGGCACGCATTTTCATTACCCCATCGCGCGTGACGCCCGCTTCGTCTGGGTTTATTCTAGAGCGCGCCTTTGCGAGATTTTGCGATCGGAAAAATAAATGCCGTATAAATGTTACGTCTATGTGTCAAATGGGACCAAATGGGATGCCTCCCCATGCGCAAGATTGCACAAAAATGACCCCCATTCTGCAGGAAAACCTTCTACAGCACACCCATCCGAGAAGAAAAAACAACCAGTCTTTTATCAAACCATTTACGTAAAAATTAAGGGTGTGTGGAAAATACACCGAACCACACAAGTAAGCGATGCGGAATTTACACACTCTACCCGACAACCCATCCTTCTGAAGGGAAAGTCAGCCCTACCTCCTAACCATTGGTGAAGAAAATCATATTCAGAATTCTTAACTCAACAGTTAAACGGTTCGTGTAAACGCAAACAAACAGTTCGTTGTTTCTTGTGTTTTCTTTTTTCTTTCTTTTTTAAATGTAACAAGGCTCTACGGTATAATTCGGCTTTACAGGCCATGCAGATCGGCGCCTCTAATTTTTTCTTCTGTCGACAATAAGTCCATTTCCATACTACATTTCCGTCATTCAAGAATTCCACGTTCACCGGGATTTACGACAGTTTCGGAATATCAAGTACCCGCTAAATTTAGGAACATTGAGGTAACCTCAAAAAAGGCAACAGAGTTAATTACGACTAAGTCAAGCAAATTGACACAGTAACGCGTGATGGTTCTATTTATTTATTCATTCAATCCAAGGTGTGATTTAACAGTGAGTAATGCCTCCGATATGTGTACGTACTCCTGAAGAGTGGTGTTTCTACTTCTGAACGCCACAACGCCATTTGTGAGTATGGTATCAAGTATTGTTATACAGTATGGGGTCCCAATCTCATCCTGATATGCATAACACTCATCTGCATTGGAGTGAAGGGAACACTGTGTGGTAATACCTTTAAAAGAAGAAAAACCATTGGGTTACTATTCTCCTATTTCGCAATGTCATTTATAGAGCACTTTTCGAGTTGGAGTTGAAACAGGCGCGAAAGTTATCGGGGATCGTATTGGTTTTGCTCCAATTCGCTTTGTAAGTGGTCTAGAAATGTTCTTCCTTCTTACACAGATGTTGAACTAAAATCAATAGATACTTGGTCACAAGAGTTATTCCGCGCCTTGGGAAGTTTGATTGTCTGGAGATGAATTCACTCTTGGTTTTACGAAATCCAGTCGCAATGCAAGTCAAACAAATTCTCGACTAGGAAATTAACTTCTTTGCGCGTCTATTTGTGACGTAACTAATCCGAAATAAACTGTTTGTTTAACTTCAGATTCCACCGACACCAGTCGTGATTCAATTGATCCAGGATAGGCTATTTTATTAGAGTGGTATCGCTTTCAGTGACCGTTCAATACAGGTGGAGGACGATAAAAGGGACCAAGACCGCTTAATAGAGGTAACTGTTTAAGAGACGTAAAAACTATGGTGACTAGGCGGAAACAAATTCGGGACTTTGACAACTGACAGCTTAATACAGGTTCGACTGTGGTACAATTTTTAACTCACCCGCCTCTCGAAGCTCTGATGACAACTGCTGAGCTATTTCACAGAGCTCATTATGTTGAGGGTATTGGGAAAGAACAGCAACTTTGATAGGGGCCAACTGAGGATGCAAATGAAGAACTGTGCAGAGACTAACTTTGCCACTGGAATCAGATCTTTCCTTTTCTGAATATGCGTCCATCAGAGAAGCGAGAAATCCTTAAAATTGAAAAAATTATGGTGCAACAATATGAAATTATGAAATCCATTCTCCTGAATAGAAATGTTTGATACACATACATGACAAACGACAGATACAATTAGCAAGAACACTACTTGTGTTTGATCTTGCTTGCAGAGTGAATCTTCCCTCCTGGACAAAAATGTTATGCAAGTTTTAGGGTTACCATCTAGGATCCACAAAGGCAATTGTGGTGGAGGGACAGCCCTTGGTCTACTCACATCATCATCATTATTATTATATAATAATATATATATATATATATATATATATATATATATATATATATATATATATTTTTTTTTTTTTTTTTTCTTTTTTGGGGGAAGAGTGGGAATGCAAAAGAACTCAAGAGAGACTAAGAGAAGCCAAAAGCAAGAAAAGGGTCACAGAAGTATTGCAAACCAAGAACTGTTACCTCTATTAAGATCAGTTTTGACCTGGATGACATGAGGTATTGATTTCTTGTTGAATG